TACCGCTTGTATCACGTCGATTGGCATCCAATATGTCTGCCGTTCCTCCGGTAAGTAGCTGCTCGTAAAGGCATGCGGTGATCTAAAGCCATAAATTCATCTAGCTCTCATTGCAATCAAGCTAATCCGCATCATCGACGTAGCTCAAAGATCCGTCGCTCTTCAAGACCGATGTGTGCTACGTGAATGGCGAGTGGGTCAAAGCCGCCTCTGGCAAGACCTTTGAGGTCCATGATCCTTCAACTGGTAAATTGATTGGCACTGCGCCCGAGTTCGACAGCAAAGATACAGAACATGCCATTGCAGCTGCAGCGGAGGCTTTCAAGTCTTTCCGCAAGACCACTGGCCGCGAACGAGCCAAGATGCTTCGGAAATGGTATGACCTTGTGATGGAGAATGCCGACGACATTGCCACCATTATCACCTGGGAAAACGGCAAACCACTTGCCGATGCCAAGGGAGAGGTCACATACGCTGCGAACTTCTTTGAATGGTTCAGTGAGGAGGCCCCGAGAATCTACGGCGATACGATATCCGCCAGCATTCCCGGCAACCGTGTGATCACCGTCAAGGAACCCGTCGGCGTGTGCGGCCTGATCACTCCATGGAACTTCCCAGCAGCAATGATCACGCGAAAGATCGGACCGGCACTAGCAGCAGGTTGCACGACTGTAGCAAAGTCTCCTGGTGAGACGCCGTTCACCAGTCTGGCACTGGCTGAGCTCGCCCACCGGGCTGGAATTCCCAAGGGCGTGGTCAACGTTATCTCAGCCTTGGACAACACTCCTGCCGTGGGAGAGGCGCTGACGACTCACCCGACCATTCGCAAGGTATCTTTTACGGGTTCGACCAATGTTGGCAAGCTTCTCATGAAGCAGTCGTCATCGACTCTAAAGATTGTCTCCATGGAACTTGGAGGCAACGCCCCATTTATCGTCTTTGATGACGCTGATGTCGATGCCGCCGTAGCTGGTGCGATTACTTCCAAGTTCAGGTCATCGGGGCAAACCTGTGTTTGTGCCAACAGAATATATGTACAAAAGGGTATCTATGATGAGTTTGCCCAGAAGTTTGCCGAAAAGGTCAAAAGTTTCAAAGTGGGCAATGGGTTTGACAACGGCATCACTCATGGCCCGCTAATTCACCAACGTGCCGTTTCCAAAGTTGAGTCACACGTTAGGGATGCTGAGAAGAAGGGCGGTCACATTGTAGTGGGTGGCCAAAAGCTCCCCTCTCTGGGTGAGAACTTCTACCAGCCTACAGTTATTACTGGTATGACAAAGGAGATGGCTATCTCGACTGAGGAGACATTTGGTCCGGTCGCAGCTCTCTTCCCTTTCTCCACTGAGCAGGAAGTCATCGACCTAGCCAACGCGGCCGAGGTTGGCCTTGCTGGTTATTTCTTCTCCAGAGATTTGGAGCGGATCGGACGCATTGCCGAGGCCCTTGAAGTAGGCATGATTGGTGTCAACACCGGCTTGATCTCTGATCCTGCCTCACCGTTTGGAGGCATCAAGGAGTCTGGGTTTGGACGTGAGGGATCCAAATACGGCATCGAGTCATACCAAAACATCAAGACGATGACCTTTGGTGGCATGGGCAAGCCGCTTCAAGGCGCATAAAAAGCAGAGACGATCGGTGCGAAGGACCAAGGGTACCACACAGATGTTTTATCACTGTTTTAACAAACCGAGTCCATATGTGTGTGTGTGTATGTATGAAGAGAGAAAGCGTACACGAACCCCAATGCAATGTGTTCATAAATCTGGCAGTGCAATATCTTTTACAATTCGTACTGGATCGTGGTTGATAAACCAACAGAAGCTGCCAGACACGCACACCCAAAAGGTTTACGGACATGAGGAGGTGTTGATCAAAAAGTTGGTTGTCAGAGATGTTCGAGATATATTGAACAGCGAGAAGGGGACTGTCTCAAATTCAATTCATCGAGAAGAGAGATGATATCATACATTTCGAAAGTTAGTATTTTGTAAAAGAGCCGTCTACACATGTGCTTAGCTAGAATATATATCTGCCCGCACTGAATAGGGTAACTCATAGGGAATTGACTCCATAGCTACATGTATGTGTACGGAATAGCTGCACGTGCTACAAGACTCCCCCTGATTTTTAGTGGGTGAAATAGCGAAAAAGCTCGGGCCACCCGGTCGAATCGATCGCATGTCTGGCAGGCGGCTGCTCAAGCTCCAATTTTTTTAGCATCACGAAATTTCAGGATCTCTCACCGCGGGCTCACAAGGTGCACAACCAAGGCCCAATTGCCCCCAATGATCCGAAATCCGATAAACGCGGCCGTCGGCCGAGGTAGGCCGGACCTCTGCCGCCTGAGTGAAGGCATTGCAACCTCCCTCCGCCAATTCTCCATCGCCCAGGCCCGTTGTAACGATGATCCTCCCCAACGTCCTACTGGCCGCCAGCGATCCGCAGCCGCTGCCAACGAGCTGCTCTCCATAAACAGGTCGGCCAAGAGTACCAGCACCAAGGGCCGTGGTGACTCACCGCATAGGACTGCAGAGGGCAACGCGGCCCCTATTCGCAAAGTCATTAGCATCTCTAGCTTGCGAGGTGGTGTCCAGGGCCGCTTCACTGGTCTCAAGCTGCAAGGCGTGCCGAGTGGTTCCCCCGCACGCGCACCCTCCCCTGGCCCAGGCTCTGGTGCTGCCACTGGGAACATCATCCGCGGCGGATTTCGAGGTCGAGGTGGAGCAGGCAGAGGAGGCCCAGCTGGCCGCGGCGGTGCCTTTCGCGGAGGACGCGGTGGCCTTCGTGGCCCTGACGACAGGCCTCGGCCTCAACGAGCGCGCAAGTCCGGCAAGAAAAGGAACGATGACGAGAATTACAAGCGGTTTATGAACCAAGAGGATGAAGACCCTGCCCTCGCTGAGTACTTCCGGAAAGTCGAGGTAGGACCTCTGACTCCGTACAAACCGCTTTCCTCCGACAAACTCCTCGCCGACCTAGCCGGTTACGTTCCTGCTATCGCAGCGCAGACATCTCTAACTCCAGGCTCTACTGCCGTCCTCCAGGCGCGAACGCTGGGTGGCGGAGGTGTGAACTACCCTCAGGACTGGAAGGACCCCGAGGATGCCAAGAAGCGGTACACTGAGGGCAACGGCACCTTCTTCCCCAGCATTGAGGCCAAGCGGTGGACAGAGAAGGTGACCCAGATGGAGTTCAAGGCTCCTCCCAAGGAGACTACAACTGCAGTTCTGGAAGCCGCATTGCTGGGCAAGTATGAGGGACCTAATTTTGCCCTGGAAAACGATACCTTAGGCACCGTCAGGAACTATGTCAGGAGAGATGGCTCATGGAACATGGCTTCTCAGAGCACTATTGAGGAAAAGGTCAAGAGCCTACTGCCATCTGCCCCTAAAGGTGGCGCTGGAGCGCCCAGAGCGAAAGGCGATGCTGGAACTACCAAGGCGAAAGGAAAGCGAGCATGAGGATGTGAACTCCCAGACCAAAACTATGTAACCCAATGCGACTTTCGTCGTTTACTGAATCGTCAGGAGACGCTGTAACAACAACTGTCTAGATCTAGTGTACATAAAAAAGGCATATTATTACACAACAACCCTGTTGATAGTGCTCTCAAGTTTTTTTGTTATTTTTGTTCCTCAGTTGGTTATGCCATCAAAGCGAGATATATGACGTCGCTCCTATGGATATGATACACCATTTCCCAGTATTCTATAGTACACATACACACTATGCAGCGTCTTCGGCAAAGCAAAACGTCCCTCTCCCACATTGCTGCTCCTCTGGGAACTTCCACGCATGGGGGTTGTTTGCATTTCCCCCTTCTATCTCGTACACTTTTTTTTCTCTTATTTGCCCTCCGCGGTCTTGGACGCCAGCTTCTCAGCAGCATCAATCTCGGCCACCTTGGCCTTGATGATCTTGTCGAGCTCGGAGTCGAGCTTCCGCTTCAGGTCGGGGCCGACGAGGCCGTCCTTCTTCCAGGCGGCATGGGTCTTGTCCCGCTTGTGGCGGACCTGGCGGACGCGCTCGCGCCACTCGTGGCAGACGGCCTTGACGCGCTTGACGACGTCCTCGCGCTTGTCGGGCTCGACTTTGAGCACGAGCTCGAGCTCGTTGTCCGGGTCCCGCTGCGGCTGCTGGTTGAAGTCCCGGCTGGCCTGGATGGCGCTCATCACGGGCTTGACGTACGCCTCCTCGTGCACCAGGATGCTGATGGTCCGCCCGCCCTTGGGCACCACCTCCGCCAGCTCGCGCAGCGGGTACGTCGCGCCCCCCTGCCGCTCCGGCTGCACCCGCAGCGCCCCGATCTGGTCCGGGTTGAAGCGTCCTCCCGCCTTGAGCTTCTTGAGCGCGTCCTGCGCCGGCTCCGAGGCCTTGTTGAGCCGCGACTTGACATCCGCGAAATCTAGGGGCTCATCTGGGTTGGCAGGCGGATGCTGCGAAGGGGGGTTCGAGGAGTTGGTAGAAGAGGCCGAAGACGACGACGACGACGACGATGGCGACGATGCTGATTTGGTGGGAGCTTGCTTCTCGGCCGGCTCGCGATTCTTGTTCTTCTTTGCGGCCGGGGCCGTAGCATGGAATTGTCGAGAAGTCTGCGCAGATGAGAGGCGGAGAGTTCCCATCGACCCGGCACGGATGCTTAGAGCCTGGCGTGAGGTACCATACTGGGTGCTGTGTGTATATTCATGTTAGTTTCTTGTACTTGTATACAAGGTCAATTGAAGCCAATTGTGAACGGCTTACAGCGCCTGCACCTCTACCGCAGTTCTGGTGTGTCGCAGAAGTCTCGCAACTGTTGTGGTACCCCTCATTGTGAGATTCCGGTGGGTTTACAATGATGTTTTAGCTAGATCACAAGCTCCGAGCACATCTGAGCAGCACTTGAAGCTATTGACTAGCAGGCATTTTTAGCGTCGTCACATCTACTGGAAAAACTAAGATTCTCCACTATTCAACGGTACTTAATAGATCATAAACCGGATAAAAGCATCGCCGTTCGCTTGGCCTAGTGGTTAGGGCATATGCTTTACATAGATGGCTTCAAACCTATCAAAAATGAATCGCATAGGATCGCAGGTTCGATCCCTGCAGTGAACAAAATGTTTTCTTTTTGATTGTGGCACTGCAGTGGTGTGGTTAAATCGTCTTGAAACTTTTTTTTCTTTTCTGGTGGACATGAAATGGATAAATAGATGCATTCATTCCATATGTTTTCTTTTGTGAAGTCAAGAAAGCCCGGCCTAACTGAATGGCACGATATGGTTATACATTAATTAGAGTAGAGGAGACGACCGAAGGAATTTTTTAACTTCATATCGTAGAAGATAGAGAAAGAGGTGTAAGTAACATGGTTAGTTAATTACTAGGTAATATATTTATATATAAATAAGTGAATCACAGGTCTCTCTCATATGGTCGGAGGCATGCATGTTAATAAACTAGTGTAGATCCCGTTATATGGCACGGTGGTCAAACTCGATATAGAAAATTGTTAGTTTGAATATTGGTGATTGAAGTATGATATTTTCGCCCAGTCGCTTATAAAAAAAAGCATGCTGGCCATCTTTGGCATCTTTGGTAATCGAGGCCCCCCACCTTATCCAGCAAGGCAGCGACTTCTACACACCTCCTAGCTAGCCACAGGTAGCAATGTATAGATAGACAGTAGTGCGCGAGCCAACGACATCGCTAAGCATCATTCACTAACTCCTCTTGGGATGCAAGAGTTTTGTTCAGATCCATCAAGTGGGCAGACGCAAAAGCTCAAGCACACATCATCGTCACCCTGCTCACTGAACTTTCCACTCAATCGGATATCCACAGCTCATACAAAAAACACATAAGTGATCAGGACGGTGGAGATGACGATGTTGTGCTCTGATTTGGAATTACCTGGTAATTTCTAGAGCTCCAAAGACTCGGTCGAAATTGCTACCCCTTTTATTTAAATCAAACAGAACTTCCAGTCTTGGATCAAGCATTTACTCCTTGATGAGCCGAATTTGTGGATGTCATACGGCGGAAACAGTTTCCATATATACGTTTCCCTTGTTCTAGAGCATCAAGCGCTTGATCATGACATACGAACTCCTCAAGCTAATAGACCTGCTTAGATAGCATCGAATATTCTCGAAAGAACTTTATTATCATAGTCTATCGGGATGATTGTGTCATATCAGTTAGAGTATGGCCCTAATATTGGTAGTATGTTTGTGCGGGCTGTCCTCGAATATTCTGCCGATGGTTACCTGGCGATAGCCTACGTAGTCTTCTTTTTGGTTTCTTTGCAATTAAACTCTTTCCTAGTACCAACAGCCACCATTCTAGTATTTAGAATTGGCAATGGTATCCATCCACTCTTATTAACTGAAATACCTTTCAGCCACACTAATAAAGGTGGTCGACCTTCTCTCTATTTTGGTTTCGTGCGTTATTGATGCCCAGTTTAGTTTCCGCCGCGGGATCGCCTTAAAAACCTACAATATATAAGAACGGAGACGAGAGAGGGCCTGGCGGATCGCCTGAATTCTAAATTACCGTGCTAACTTAGATACATCTCATCAGTGACTGGTCGGGAAATTCAGATAATGCTCCGGGTGTTAACAACCGTGACTGGCTGCATAGCCTAAACAGTCTTTCTTATCGGCTCAAGCATTTTTCGCGGTGCCTCTCCCAGGCTCTCATGGATGGTGAATTCTGGTTAGACGCTCTCACCGTATTTTACGTCAACCGTGACAGTGGGCCGGGCTGCCTGTAGAATATCTGAGCGTGATGTGGCGTGCTACGATGAAACAAAGTCGTCAAGTGTTAGTGGTATCTGATTATGTACTGCGTAGTTGAGGTTAATTAAACGGATGGCCCGACCAATAGACCCTGGATAGGCAAATGAGACGAACGGTCTAGAGGGGTTAGAAGTGGAGAATAAGTGGTGTACATCCTCAGCTCGCTCCTACGCCAAGCAGAAGGAGCATACTTTCCCACCAGCACGTTTATACACACAACTAAGCTGCATTGCATAAACGGCCATAATAACAAGTCGACCTCTTGACTGTTTAACAGACTATGGCAGCAGAGAGCGCGATGCCGAACCTTGTCTTCGGCCCTCTAGGCGACCAGTGGCTCTACGAGTGTAGCACCAGGACGTACGACCTCGCCCGAGAGGCGTCGAAAAGGTTAACGATAAGCACGACGAAAGGGCCTGCGGATACGTCGATTGTTGTCAACCCCGATGCTACCGCCTTGGTCGTCGTCGACATGCAGAATTTCTTCCTCGACGCAAAATGTCGAAGCCACCCCACCGGACTCGCAGCAGTGGACTCGACCCTGGACGTTATCAGGAAGTGCCGCGAGGTTGGCATCCAGGTAAGTGAGCGGTCTAACGCGGCGGATAACATGTTCACGATAGTACTGTACTGTACAACAATAGGAGTCCCGAGAAGATAGATAAGCCTCCTTACCCTGGCTTTTTCTCAACCTATCACTGTGATGTGAGCGAATGGGTACAGTGCACGCTAACTAACCTCTTGTACCACAACCAACTTTCTAGGTCGTGTGGCTGAACTGGGGTCTAACTGACGGTGACCTTGAAGCCATGCCAGCGGGCGTGGAACGTGGGTTTGCTCGATCCCTTATCTGCCCCGACAACCAGCAGGGGGGAGCTACTAGGAGCGGGCTCGGTTCTGACCTTGGGAGTGGAATGGGTCGCATGCTGGTGGCCGGCGAATGGAACTCGGCTATCTATCCACCCTTAGCCTCCGTCGCAGAACCGGAAGACGTGCACTGCGCTAAGAACCGCATGTCCGGGCTCTGGCACACGAGCCAGCCCCTGTGGCGGCACCTGGAGCAGGGCGGGAGGAGAACACTGCTGTTCGCGGGGGTAAACACCGATCAGTGCGTGCTGGGGACTCTCGTGGACGCTCACAATGCGGGCTGGGACTGCGTGATGATTGACGACTGTTGTGCCACCACCACCCAGCACGGGCATGAGGTTTGCCTGTCCAATGTCTCGGTAGGTTTTGCGTTGGCTTATTAATCAGCTAACTACCTTGTGGGCTTCACAAGGCGACGGCTGTTCAACTTAGACCGTGTGGTGCTGACATAGAAGTAGAACTGCTACGGATTTGTTACCAACAGCAAGTCACTAACATTGGGGACCCTTGCGTGAGACTGGCAAGAGATGAGATAATGCTACATAGTTAATTTTTTTTTATTTTTATTTTTTTTATCTACGCTTGTTATCAAACTTGTTGCATATGTACCGTGAAGCACTCCTCACCGCCGAATACCAGGGAAGCTCGCAAATGTCTCTGGAACAACTCATGTGAGGAATAGAATCCCCAAGATGTTACTTAGAGAGGCCGGATTCCCCAATGACCGTAAGCGTATCTGACCACGAATACGAACTGCAGCAGGTGAGAAGAGTATGCGTGGTGGTGTGGTGCGGAGGAACAGCCCATCTCGTGTTTGGAGTGATGCGCCGCCTGCATCTACTTCGTAACGTACGTGAAAGTGCATGGCTACATATGTACACTACACGGTGCTAGTTACATGTACTATGTGCGGCAAACTAACCCCCTCCATCTCCGTAGACCGACTACTACTAACCCGTTAAGTGGTCGGTTAGCTGAGTGCTTCGTACATTTTAGCTACTATGTAGTTAGCGTGTATACGCAGGAGCCTACAGTCTAGTCTGTATGTACGTTTCTCAGTATGAGATGGTTGGAGGGGACGGAGTTGCGGGAGCGCAAGTGGGCCTCCCCTTATTAAGGCCCCAATTTCGTGTCATACTCGCTAAGGGAACTACCCAGTGGGCCGGGTAACCGGCGCTCGCACAACCATCGGCGCTTTGGTCGAATCAGAGGGCGAGCCAGCACTTCCCGCGCGCCGCCGCCTCTCGCCGGCTCACGATAGTCTCATCGGCGGACCTTAATTTCAAGCTCGACTTAATATTGCTAGTCAGGGGTGAAATTAACTTAAGGGGCCAGCTGAAAAATATCGATTGTGTGCCTTGGAATTTTCTTGTATTTTCCGGCTCTTATCTACCTAGTTTAGGTCGCTATCTGCAGTAGCTACGAGTGTGTGCACTGAGAGGGAAGAGAGCGTGATAGCAAGTGAGGCCTCAGCTACTGCCAATGTGATATTCATCGCATCCTAACCCTCTGGCATGCCCTGGAGCATCCTGGCACTTAGAATATAGTGGATTCCTAAATGCAGCAAACGCCCAAGCGTTATCTCTGTGCACATTCGATATGCTGGACCTTGCCCTTCAACCAAGTTGATTTGACAAGCCAGTTAACTCAACTCCAAGTGCCATCCTGTGGTCTGACTGTGGAGTTTTGGATCCCAGTAGCTGGTCGAAAAGTCTTCCTTGGTGCACCAGCCAGGGATATGGACCCGCGCGGCGATACTGTCTCTCGGACTCCTTGTCAATTGCAGTAGAATCGCAGTTCTCGTCCCTCATAACCGGACCAGCCATTCCGTTACACGGCCTCTCCCCATGGAACCGTATGCTCCAGGTAAGCTAAGTGTGCTTCAAAAACTCCGAAGTCGAATATGTAACGCTGTTCTATGAAACATTGGTGTCATGAATCGTCGGCGGGTGTGTGATCTAGCTTCGGGGTACTAGTCCTCGCTCATTGTATGCGGCTTGATTTAATAATTATTTGATTGCGTCCGCAGCAGCTAGCCGGACTCGATGACTACCTCGCCCAGGCATCGGCCATAGCTGCAGCATCTTTCCGGTGGTATTTGTCCATTAAGGATGCCATCACGTATGGGCTGACTAGTCAGCGTTGTTGATTGATATATGTGCAAAAAGCCGATAGGTAGTAAATGCAAGACTTACATCAGGACATCGGATCGGTGATGCCTGTACCGAAACGCCCATGCAGACAAATGCCGCAATGGCTGATAATAAGATCTGGAAACGCATATTGCTCTGCTTTCCGCCTCAGATTGTGTGAATAGAATGGGAGACGACAAAATAATCGAAAGGAGGCCTCGACGGTAAGGTGTGGTGAGGCACTGTAAAGGAATATGTATGCTACGCGACTTGAGAGAGAGGGCTACCACTTTCCACAGACTTGAAAATAAAATAA